ATTTCATTAGTTATGTAGATGTGATGTTAAAGGCCACATTAGCAAATACGATGTTCGCGTAAACATAATATTTCGATGAAAACGATGAATTTTTGTGCAATTTTCCGTTGCGATTACAGATATATGATAAAAAAAATATTAGTCGAGTCCTCTTACATTAACGAATTAATAACCAGAAAATTCGTACATTATCGTTTCGTCGTCAAAAGAAGAAAAAAGAAGTCGTATTTTCTTTTTTTTATCGTGTAGAACAATGTTTAAACGTAAATCAAATAACCGATTTACTTAACACGTTCCACTCACTCGTGCTGCTAGCTGGTACATATCTTCGATGACGTATTTTTTTAATAGACATTTAAAAATAAAAGAGACAGAGAGAAAAGAGAAGATGAAATAGGAAAAAAAACATCATCCGCACATCTTCTAACCACAGCGAACAAACTTTCACCGTTATATTCGTTAACACGAATTATATGGAATGTTGTGCACTGTTTAAGAGTCGATAATATACGATAACACAGTTTCCTTCAGCTTTTTCACCTGTCCTGTCACGAAGTACATCAAAGTGCATAAGAGAATATAGTAGTATATATCTCGACCGACTACTTCCGCCCCCACTCACTTATTTTTCTTTCTTTAAGGAAAACCCAAGCGTGGATCGCGATCGGCGCGCATCATTCTCTCCCTCTCTCTCACTCTTTCTCTCCCTCTCTTTCTTTTTCATTCTCCATCTCTTCTTCTAAGATATATATATTTTGACAATTTACACGATTGTTTTCATTTTGATGCAACGCTGTAATCATTCTTTTTCTGACTATTCGACTTCCATAAAAAGAAATGTAAACATCTATATTTAATCAAAAATTTGTACAAACAGGCAACGATCAGATAGTCGTGTAATTCCTTTACACGTATATATTGGGTCATGTTTTATTACGATCTGAGAGGATCCTTCGAAACAGTTTCTTTATTTTAAACGTCTTCCTTGTCATCGTCCTTTTTTATCTTCAGTTGTTTTGTTCTATTTAAAAAAATTTTTCGACAGCGATCGATATTTTTGTTAAGGTCAACTTAGGAATTAACTAAATTTTACGTTTCAAACTCGTTTCTAGAATTCCTTAAAATTATGGAAATTATTTCTATGTGTTAAGGCTATACACGAATGCGCGCGAGCACTTTTCTTGACAAGGGTGGGGGAAAAATATTTTCCACGATTTTGCAATTTTAGACGACTAATGTAAATGTATCTTGCAATTGGGATGAATATTTAATAAAATGAAGATATTTATATTTTCATCAGAATTTTATCTATTAAGTATTTAAAATTGGTCATTTTATAGAATTAAAATTTATGAGAAGTTATCGATAAGATTTCACGTTCACACGATCAGGTGAGTCACAAAAATGATGTTGCGCATGCGTAAAAAAAGGCATTCTCGTTGGCTATTGTCTTCTAGAGGTAAATTTACACAGCAGACAAATTTCTAATAATGAAATACATTTTTAATAATTGAACGTTCGCAAAATATAAAATAATAAATAAATATAATAACAAACAATTATTCATTGCAATGATAATAAATAGAATCAAATTACGATTGTAATGGAGATCATACAAGTAGGTATATGTATGTATATATATATATATAATATATATATATTCGTCTATTAATAATTATTACAATTGTATTTTTAGTGCATATATAAACATTGATATTTACATATTATTTAAATCAGCGTCGCGTAAAATCTGTAACGTAAATAATCTTTGTATCAGAGATAAAAATAATATTCATTTCATTTTAAATATAATAATTTAATTAATGAATAATTTCGCGCGATGGATATTCAGTACTGTAATTTTGAAAATATTTGATAGAGATTTAATCGAATCCAAATGTTTCCATTCCAAAAAAGAAATAACAATTATTCGCAAATATAAATACGATAATTTAACACGCCGCTGATCTAAATGAATAAAAATAGTTTACAATGACAGATATTAACTCTTATTAAATATCAAACGAGTTTTAAATTGTATAAAAATTCAGCAAATTACACTTACTAAAGATTTATTTTTAATTCAATATCTAATATAGAATAGTTAATATGAGATTCACATGATTATACAAATTGTGTATATATAAATTAAAGAAATTTATTGAGTTTCTAAAAATAACTTTGTCTATAAAAAGAAGTAAAAAAATGACAAGCCCTATTTTGAACACTTTTATCAAATATGTTTCTCAACACTCTGTTTTCACGATTGATTTTATTTTTATTCATGTTTAATGCTCCACAAACCCGGTTGCGTTGTTAATATTTTGATTGAGTATTATTAATTAATTAAATAGAAATATATTTGGACTAGAATAATTTTTTGATGGTGAAATTCTTGTACAAAATTAATATATAATTGATATAATTACAAATTATCAATTACTCGTTGCACTTACGACAAGGATATTAAAGTAATTGATAGTAATATAATTATATATGGTATTTGGAGCTGTGAAGCATTTGTCTTTTTCTCGTATGTGTATGTGTATATATGAATGATCGTGTGTATTTTTATGTGTATACAAATGTAATTTTTTAAATTTAATAAGTTCTAAGGAATAGAAATTGTGTACATATGAATATTTTTTCAATTGATATTTTACAATGAAATATTGCCAGGTATGCTATATTGTCCTTTCCTGGAATGTGAATCAACTGCTCTGACAGCAAAGTAATAATTGTTACCTTCTGAAAACTAAAATATTTACGATTTGTAACTTAACTAATATTTAAACAGTTTGAAATAATATCCATTATCGCATATCTCTATTATATTATTTTCTATTATTAATTATTATTTACCTGAGTAAGAGTACAAGCCATAGGCAATGGTAAAGCTCGAACGTCACCAACTTTTTTCCAAAGATTCGTACTAGGAGATACACCTGCGACTTCTTGATAAGCATACAATTGGTAACTAACTATATCGGCGTATTTATCCGAAAGTGTCATATTCCACGATAACACTATACCTAGAAAATATAAAGCATCGTTTAATGATTATTTTTATAAATCATTTTTTATAATAAATCTTACATTACATAAAATACGAACCATTTGCAACTTTAGATATTTTTAAAGAAGGAGCTGGTGGAGGCAATTTTGAAAGAGGACTAATATTATATTGAGGAGAGTCTGGAAGAGGTGCCGGGTGCTAAAATAAATATGATAATATTTTAATTACTTCATTTATATTGTAATAAATCTTCCCAAGAAAATAAATTTCATTTTAAATAACTCACTTTCTTTGTTTGTATATTTGAAGGACAAGCCGGCGTTGTGATTACACGTACAGTACCATTTGCATTTGTTGAAATGCCTAAATAAGAAAAAATAGAAAAAGAAGATTTACTGATGTTAACTAAATAAAAATATGATAATGTTAATATTATTTACCAGTTTTATATGTAACTGTTGTAAATGGTGGTCTGTTACCTGAACTTACTACTGGTCTTATCTGTAAATCATGTAATTAAAAATTTTTATATATCTTTTCAATCTAATTTAAAGAATTTTATTAATAAATATATAGTAATACTTGATTAGAATTTGATGTTATTAATAATTGTCTCCCTGGAACAACTCCACCTTGCATTACGTATGCTAATCTAGGTGCATTCATATTGTTCTGTCAAAAGGAATATATCTTTAAATATCTGTTAAATATCAAAATTAAGATGATATGTATAAGAACATAAATTTACTTACTACTAAAGCAGTTGGTGTTGGATGACTTGCTGTATGAACCACTCTGATACTAGGTTGAGATATAGTTACATTCGTAGGGATTGTTTGAATTACTCTAGGAAAATTGTTCGATGTCTTCGGTCTAATATTTATTAAATTATCTGCGTTTTTGATCACGTTTAGCATGTTTACTGTAGCTATAAAAAATAGACAATAGGTTATACAATTATCATATAATAAAACACCTATATCTTTCCATGTATTTCCATGTATAAATATATTTTGATACGTACATTTATTTTTTTCCTCTTCATCCGTTAAATCAATGAGATCATTAGTATTTGTTTTGGGAACATTCGTCGTCGTACTTTGTCGACTTGTTTGTTGTTGCGGAATTTTTCCATTTAGTACTACAGTTTGTGGCGATAATGGCTGTTGTTGCTATTAAATTAATTTTCAAATATTTATATATTATTGTAAATACTTTTATTATTAATATTATAACATTTATGATACATACATTTGATAATATTTGTTGAATGCTATTAGTTGAATTTGTCAAACTTATAGAATGTTGAGATTCAACAGGTTTAGACATAACTAAAGCAGCTGGAGTCACAGCAGGAATTAATGTAGGAGGTTGTACTGTACTGTGCGATATAGTAACAGGTTGAGCGACTATGGGTATCTCAATTTTTCTTGGAGACCTTACTTTTATTCCTTTTCTTTGATTTGGTGGATTTGTTTCATTGACCATAGGAGTAAGTGTAGGCGGTATATTTACACATTTTATTGGAGGATTTTGTTGTAATTGTCTTAAACTTTGTATTCCATGATCCTATAATATTTATTAAATAAATAAAAAGTAATAGATTAAAATAAACAAGTTAATGATAATAGTAATATATTACCGTAATGAAGTTAACTTGTAATCCGACAGATCGATTAATCTTTATCGGTACTACTGGTTTGTCATTATTTGCCCGTCTATCTGCTGCATTACGATTTAAAACCATTTCAAAATCTTTTATTTGTTTTGCTAATTGTTGACATCTAGTTCGTGTTGCTTCCTGATTTTTTTCAGATATTCTCGCTTGTTCTCTCAATCTTCCAATTTCACCACGCATTGCTATGGCTTCTACAATTTTTTGTATTAAAAGTTCTTCCAATTCCTAAAACACGTGTTTTTTATATGTTGATAATATATTTGGATTAATATATTTCATTATAAGAGAATTATGAAATAACTTACTTCTTGCTTTAATTTAGGTAGTTTTTCCTTAGCGTTTCTTCTAAATAATTTACTTATATAATTAAGACTTCCTATATCATTTGTTTCTTCTTTTTGTATGGTAACATCTTCAATTTTAGAACTTTTGAGTTTTTTTATATTACCATTAACAGTTAAATCAATCTCAGTTGAATGACGTTTTAACGAAGGAGGAGAAAGAGGTTGTACACTCTGATTAATTTTATGATTTAAAGTTATATTTTTATCAGAATTATCACTAGAATCTATATCGCTTTCTTGAGCCAAGAGCTTTTTCCTTATTATTTCTTCTGCATTTTTAGCAGTTTTTCTTTTCTGTCGTCCTTCTATACATGAAACAATTATTCTATTAAATGTATTAAAATAAATCATATTAAAATAATATTACTCTATAGTAAAAAATAGTATTCATACCATGCTTTTCTTGAATAGTATCTTGTTCTGAGACTGTCATCTTCCTTGATCGTCTTCTTTTTCGTTGTGGTTTTGAAATTTCAACGATATTTTCTTCATTCTCATCATTTATATCTTTTTCAACCGACGGCTCTGATAATGCACCTATAATTGTTGTTAAAGAACTTTCATCAACAGAAATTGCAGACTCGTTAATATCATCATTGTCCACATCTATAGCATCCGATATTAATTGATGAATAGTGTGCTTATCATTGTTTTCAAAGCTTTTCGATAAATTCGATTTTTCATTTTGCTTTTTTATTAAAGTATTATTATCGGATGAACTTGAAATTTGATCTAAATTGATTTCGTCATGTAATACCTTTTTATTACATTTATCGTTACTAACTTTTTGATCATTGTTAAAAGACTCTTGATTAAATTCCTGATGTTTACTTGCTATAGTTGTTTCTGTCCTATTAACTTTATTTTTATCCACGGAATATTCATCAATTGTTAAACAATCGTCTGAATTTGAACTTAGTGCTTTCTTATTAGTAAAGACATCCGTATTACAATTGTTACTCAGTATTTTCTCCTTTTTATTTAGTATTGAATCTTGTTTGTCATCTCGACATTGATCATTTTCTTTGTTAGTAACTGCTTCTTCGTTTTGATCTTCAATCTTTAATTGACTACTCTCTTTATATTCATTTTTCTCTTTCAAAGAAGATGTATCTTTTTCTTTGCTAATTAAATTGCTTAAATTATCAACTAATCTATTATCATCACAATTGTTTTTACTAGTATTACAAATCCCACTTTTCGTTTTCGTTAATTTTTCGGTTTTACTTTTCGTTTTAGTAGGACTATTAATTGATTCATTATTACATTTCTCCCAAGTCGATTTATCATTATTATTACTATTTAGAACTAGATTATTTGTTTTTCCTAAACTCGACTTCCAAACCTCCACTTCTTCATTGTCAGTGTTTACATCATTCCTTTCACTATTATCTACTTCATTATGGGATTGTTGTTTTTTGTTAGATTCTTCATTACTACTATTCTTATCTATGTAGAACAGCAAAAATTAGAAACAGCATGAACGTCATCGTTGAGAATATTTTCGTTAAACAAATCATTGAATATTCATACTAATTGAAAAAAATAATTCTTTCCTGATTAAATATTTACTCCAATGCTTGGGTAAAATAAAAAGAAATATATACGTAATAGTAACTCACCCTTATCTTTTGTCTCTTTATCACATAGCTTAGGATTTATAGATGGTAGAATAATTTCTTCTGCTTCAGCTTCGTCATCAGAAAGTCTTAAACGTAAACTATCATCAGACAATGCTTCTTCTTCCTCTCCGTCTTCTCCCGTCCCATATAAAAGTTCATCTTCTTTTTGTCTCGACAATTCATCCACATTTAGTATGTTAGCGGTGTGTGCATGATTAGTTACAGTGGATGTAGAATCATTTAGAGTATCATTTCTTAATGTCTCCATTATTTAAAGAGAGGCGGTGCATAAAGAGATAAATGTCACAGCAGTCCCATTTATTATTCTAGTTTATTCTCTTATCTGCGAATAATCCAATTATACTACATCATTAATTATTAATTATTATTATTATAATACATAATAATAATAATAAACAACATACATAATAATAATAATAATAATAATAATAATTATTATTATTATTATTATTATTATTATTATTATTATTTACAATGTTTATAATAATCTCTTCTCACAAGAGTAAAGAAAATAATTAAGCTTAAGTTTCTAATATATATTTAGTATTTTGTTTATTTATTAAATCATAAATATATAAATAATTTCAATCTATTATCAACATATTCACATACATAACAATATTACAATTGCATATATAATTATTAATTATAAACATTAATATAAATTTGTAAATTATACTCTATTGAAGCTAAAAAATATTTATATTCTCGAGAAAAATGAAAAAATATAAAAATGTCACAATTATATTAATAATGACAAATGACAAATGATACTTAAATGTACTAAATAAAATTAATAACAGCTTGCCATAAAAATTTGAACGAATAATTCAGTAAAATTTCTAAGTACTTTTTTTGAATGATTAAAATTATTTAAGAAACAAAACTGAGAAAGAGATAGAAAACTCTGTTGAAACATTTAGAAATAGAAACTAAACCTTTGAATTCACCTAATTCATTTGAATAACTATAAATAATTTCCGTTAGTCGTATGACAGTCATTTAATCTTAATCACATTTTACCGATTGATAAACACTGAATGTCATTTTTTTACACGATGTCGCGTTTAAAAAAACATTGTTTGTGTAACACATAAATTGTTTTCCATTCTTGTTCATAAAACAAAAGTTGAAAAAACTTTCGCGATACATTATGAAACGAAATAAAATATAACATTGTTATAATTATTGTATAATTATTGTATAATTATTACTTTAATTAAACAACACTGAAAAAGAACGAATAATAACACGCGTTATTTTACGCATGTTTATGTATACTACTCTACATACTAATAAAAGAGAAATCGATGAATGAAACCGAGAAATAGAGAGAGGGAGAAAACAAAAATATCCATTAATAATCACTAAAAACGAACATATTATGTAGAAAGTTAGCACGAGTTAAACATTTTCGAAGAATCAGATCAATGCTCACCGCATGATGTCACCACTTATGTCATTTCATATGATTCGCGCGGGAAAAAACGTTGGGCAGACAATTTTGTTTCATTTGTTTTTAAATAGCCGATTTAAGTGTCATTTAAACATATATAATATATATATATAGAAATAAATTATACTGATAATAAGTGACATTTATGGATAAATATCAATTCGGGTATTTAAGATAATTGAATGTTTAATATTAAAGGGCCCTTACAATCAACGGTTTGTTATCACCCTCGGCCCTGGCCCATAAGTAGTGGAATTTACAAGATGGCGGACCAACAATACGTACAGTGTGTTCAACTCTTAGCTACAAGCTAATATTAATCAGCCGTAATACATTTGGCGAACAATAGGCAACCAAAAGAAATTGATTTATTTCGTGTTTGACTATGCTTAACATTTATTTAAACGTTTAAAAAATAAAAAAAATAAAAAATAACACTTTTAATCACAGCAACATATCAAAACGCACAGTTTCGTTGAGAGGATCATACAAGACGAACATCGCGCGTCATTAATTAACATTAACGAATGGCGAATAATTCGTTTTGATGTATGACTTAGATACTATTTATCGATGTACACTAATCAAACGATTAGCACATTAATTGTTTCGAAAATGTCCTTATCTATATCGAAAATACTCTATTATTTGATATATTTTGATAATGTTGAAACGTAAATCACTGAACCTAGGCCCCGAGATGTGTCCCGACGAAATAATCCGAAGATACACGAACTCGATTTCATCGTAGTAGCTTTACGTATTATGTCATGGAGGGGGATACATCCATCCCGATGTAAATAAAGATGTCCCAAAAAGAATCATTTCTTTTTCGAAAATATGTTGCTCCTTCCATTTGTTTTTTGTTTTTTCTTTTTGTAGACTCTTGATAGCATTGCTTGCACTTGTAATCAGTTTGGAGCAGAAATTTCATTTGAACATTACTTTTCGTCCATCATACACACGTTTCACTAATTTCTAATATTTTATATGTCTTTTTTTACATTTGTTAATATTTGCAATTGTTTTTTTTTTTAAATGTGTAAGTAACAGATTATACAGATTAAATAACATGTAAATATAAAATAACAAGCATTGACGTATATGTATATGTGCGTATTTTATAATCTAAATTTTCTATTGATACATATTCATCTATATGTATAATACTATAATACTATTAAATTTGCAAAAATTAGTTAAGACATTTAAAATTGAACAATCTTTAAAAATAATTGAGTTTCGATCGTAATGATTTTTAATTAAAATAAAACAATTAATTATTCATTTTGAATTAAAAATAATTATTTATTAGCATAATTATTGATACTTTTTAACCTAACAAAACTGACACGTATTTTTTATTGAACGGTCCATGAATAGCCCCACCCTCGTATATTCTGCGCCTTTTAATAAGACCAACGTGCGCTGTACTAGTAGTACAATATTTGAGCTCTATAGTGGGAGAAATCATGTGATTATTCGCCAAATAATCGATCGATTTGCACTTCTATATTTCGATTTAAACTTTGATTGTATAATTTTTATATTCAACCTATAAATATCTATTTTTTTTTAATTAAATATTTATTCAAATTTGTTATCATTTCCGCTCTAAATACGTTGCCCTATTATATATGCAATCGATATGATGTATCGATAGTATATAATCGATGTAGTACATAAAATAGTTTCATTTTAAACAGAAAACAACTACAAATTATTATAACAAAATTCGTATATAAAAATGTTTAAACAAATTAATTTATTTGAAGTATCACGATGACTCTTAATATTGTAATTACGTAATTACACTGCTTTGCTATTAAAAGACACTATTCGATATAATTCCTATAATTATGTTTCATCGAAAATAAATTAGAATAATAAATAGTTGAATGATAAATAGATTCAATGTTTTAGTTTGAAAATGAAACGAAATATCATCGTGTCAACCATTTCGTAGAAGACAACAAGATGGCGTTTTGATGAATTCTAAAATGGTTGCTTTTGAAGTCTAATAGTAATAGTTGCTATTAGTCCTACGTATGTATACATATAGTCATGTATATAATTGTATTTATGTAGCAATGTATATATGTGCATGACTACAGTTAAGGGCATCGTGACTAGGCTTGGGACTCAAGGCCCATAGTCACGTGCAGCTCATAATTCGTTTAATAAAAATGTAAATATCATTAAGATTATTGTTAGTAAAGTTTTAGAAATAAAACTAACGAGATAGCTATTAAATATTGTTACAAAATTGCGATATATACATTAATATGTTATAATTAACAAGAGTTTATAATAGAAATGATTTTTGAAAAATATAAAAATTCGGAATAGGTTAATGTACTCTATCGACACCCAACCATAACCATTTCGATTATGTATAGTGATTATTTTAAAAATGGAGGATATCCATTTATACTAGTATTAGAAATCATGGTGTTATATGTTAACTTACGTCACGATATTGCGTAGTAGATTGTAGTCAATGATGCACATAAAATCTGCTTTTAGAAAACGTATGTTTATAACAAATATCCCAAGAACGAAGACACACTTCTATACCTCTTTATCATATAACTGCAATGTTGCACTTCGAGGAAGTAACATGCGACGTTGCCGCTTCTTCTCGTACGTAAGTAAATGTTTTCACACACAAATCCTCTTTTTATTAAATATTTAATATATGTAAATCTTCAATTAATCTGAGAAGAATGTATTAATTGACGTGTAAGTGTCATATTGATGTTATGTAATTAATATATGCCCGTTTTTCTATACATTTTATCAAGTAATGTAAAATTTTTACTCGCGCATGCGTACAAATTCTTACAACCTCTTCTACATTTTAGTCGAATCCTAAAAGTTTTTTTGGAGTTTACATACATTTCGATTGAATCTTTTTTTCTTTTTTATCCATACGTGAACCCCACTCTTATTTCAGTTTCATGTTTTAAGGGATACACTATACATTAATATTTTTTTTCATTTTTCTTATGTTTTCTTTAACAGGAAAGATAACTCATACTGGATTATACGACAAGAATTTGGAGAATACCACGGTTAATAGTTTTCGTATACAATCTTTTTCTATGTTTATATGTATTTCCTATGATTAATATTCATAATACATTTCTATTATTAGGTTTTTATTAGGCTCATATGAATATGTATGAGATACAATCAAATGAAGAGACACATATTTATGCATTATAAACATGTATCAAAGAGAATATACAAATAAATTTATTAAATCGTCACAATGAATATATTATTTTCCCCATTTTATATTACAAAATGTAGGAATATTGATATATAAAAATAAATAAAAAAATTATACACACACATACAAATTAAAATCTTAAAATTAGAGTTCTTTCTCTCTGATCTATTTGATGAAAGAACTATAGAAACACGAAACTACAGAGAAAAGAAAAAGGAAAAAGAGATAAAAAGTTTACTCATTTTCATTTTCATTTTATTTTTTAGGTAGCCATCTTTTCTTGTAGTTATTACGTAAAAAATATGCTGCACAACTAATACGCGTGCGTTAAAAGTTACTGATATAAAATACAGTAAAACTCATCAAAATACTTATATTAACAATAATTCTAAAGAAAAAGATTACTATTGAAACTCTAAATGCTAATATTTGTTTAATTTTTACAGATATGATTAAACGATAAACAAAAATATTTCAGGAATGTGAGCCAAAAATATTCTATACACGCAACAAATAGTTACTTACATATACATACATTTATAAATGTTTGTTAAGCACATACACATTTAGGCATACGCTAATTCCAAATTATAAAGTATAATTAATGAATATATTAAAAAATACTTAAATATTAGAAAGTAAAAAGAAATTAAACTGCTAAACCATACTGCTAACCTGAAAATTAAGTTATCGTTCTAGTAATCATAAATCTATTAAAAAAACAAGAAAAAATCAATTTATATAAATAGCAGAATTCCTATGAATATATATGATTTTTTATTTTTCTAAATATATCTAATGAATAAACATGTTAAAAAGTTAACAATTCAAAATTTTTTAAACAACGCTCGGTGAGATAATCGAATTTTTTAATATATTATTGTTATAGCATTTAATTGTTAGTTCATTATGATTTTTCGCACAAAGGATTTTATTAATTTATTATGTTAAGTTGATAAGAGTGAGTAATTTAAGAAATATTAATGATATTATATTTTCTTTATTTCAGTATATCATTCTATCAAGCTTAGTCACAATTAAATTCATATATACAAACATAGATTATTGCATATTTATACATTATGACATTCGATAAAAAATAAATTTCATTTTCACGCGTAATTTTTTACTTAAATTAGGCAATAACATCTGATATCGTAAATATTATCTGTAAAATTTTAATTCAACATATTTCAAACGATTTAATAAAGAATAAATTATATTAGAAGTCATTTACGTAATAAAAAAAATATGTGCTGTAATTATTTTTTTAAGTAGATTCTTTTCCTTTTAATTTTGTTTCTTTATTTTTTTGTCTTTCTTCTTTTAAACCAAATTTAAAATAAATATATAATTAATTAGCTTTTTACTGCAAGTTACTGTTTGTTAATTTTTTGTTACTTAATCTTATTAATAAAAATTTTTATTGATATCAGATGCAATATTGTTTCAATACATGTTTCTATTTCTTTTTAAGTATTCTTTCTTTTCTTTTCTTTACATGCTTTTTGACTTTACTTTTCCTCTTCTCAGCTTGTTGTTCTTTGACAGCTTTTTTCCGAGCCTATAAAAACAAATTCATAAAAAAATTATTGTTGTATAATAAAATTAACAAATGAAAAAACATTTAATTCATATACAAAAAAGAATATGAAAATGAACTCTGACTGCGGAACGCTCAGAAATGAGACGCGACAATAGCGCTTCGTCCGTTATAGGCTAAAGTTTCCCTTCGAGCGTTCAGAGGCGCTATTTACACCGAGAAAATAACTTTCGTCGGGTGCCTGTAGATGATATTCGCAGTCCAAGAGTTAACATGTAACTGTCACGTCAGTTACTACATTGTTTAATATCTAATCTTAGAATTATAGCCTATAAGACAAAACATGTAAGATTTATATGACACTTAGTCAACAATGTTAACATGTTGAGTGCTTTTTTTCATTATGCTCTATTTTCCGTTCAGGCTGCAAATGATGATTATTCGGTGGAGTATTCGGTTACATATTTTAAAAAATGCAGTAACACACATCGCAATAACAAATCGGTGATTATTGTGTAAGTTAACACTGTGTGACGACTGGACGTCTGATAGGGATTCTTTTGTTTGTCGCCAGTAGGACTGGCTGATTTCACTTGTCACCGGTCGTTTTTCGACTCCACATAACTTACACATTATATTTGTTTTCCTAATTCTTTTGTTTTACGCATAGCCCCAACGTGTCATAACCGGCATTTGCCCAATAGTTATGCGTATGACACTAACGTGGCGTCACCGGCATTTGCCCAATATTTTTGCGTATAACACCAACGTGGTGCCATATATCGTCATAGTGTTACAAATAAGTGAACATATCATGTTAATGTTACGTCAGCCGTGAGGCCCGACAGTCAACTTTCCATTCAAACAGTGTCAGTTTGGGGCGAAAATGAACTTTTTGATTGGGAGATCGTGGCTTATTTTTGCTTTCGTCTTTTCTTTCGTAATTTTTTCGATTTTCTTTTGTTTATACCGAATATACATTCTACTGCATTAGTGTGCAGTTCACATAATAGTTCAAGAACAATCATATATTTGTTATTGCAATGTTGTGTTACTTCTTTCTTTAACAGTTTGAGTCCCAAGCAGCGCAATCGTACTGTTGAGATTTTATGTCAAGAACAGTGATCCCATTCGTACGATAAGTATCGTACACGTCACATAATTTGAAGCCTTGTGCGATCCTAAATTCAACTTGTACGATAATTTACGATAATTCTTATTTCTGTTATTTCTATATCTTGCATCTAAAAAAAGTCAGAAAAAAGTGATTTTTTGATCTTTCGGTCTGTTTTGATTGGCTATAGCCATACTAAAAGCCATACGAAAAGAACGACGAAAAATAGCGAAATAGCGAAAAAAAGGGTCATAAAGTTTGCGAAAATAGACATTTTTCCTTTATATTGCAGAATAATTAAAAATCTTCCATCCTTAAATCCAAATCTTAAATCTTAAAATTCGGAAAATCGGAAAATTTTTCTGTGCGTACGATAATTGTACTAAGAACCCGATAATTTTACGGCACTGTGTCGATCAGACAAGCAAAAGTTTCTGGCATTTCTTGACTCAAGAAATGCAAGCACCTTTTGTTTCTCATTTAGAGAAAGCGCGATCGCGCTGTTTACGAAAAATTCAACAGTGTTTTTTAATACCCCCTGGGACTTAAACGGTTAATATTTAATTAGATACTCTGCTCAATGATTATCGCTTATCGCCTGAACAGAAAAAAAAGAAAAATCAGCTCCGCGCTTAACGTGTAATAGATAAAACAAATAAATAACCTTTTTACTCTCCGGACTTTCATTACGAGGACGTGCGGAATTAGTAAATTTTTGTTCATTTTCTTTGCTATCATTATCTGTATCCACATTACTTGAACATACACTTTCATCATCACTACTATCTTCTTCTTCTTCTTCGTTATTATCTGTGATACTTTTGTTAAATTTTTTGGTTATAACTTCAGGTTCTTTATTAGGTTTGGACAAATCTGCTTTTAATCCGAATAATGTTTTATAAATCAAATCTTCTTTCTTTGTTTTAGCAAGTTTTATATCTCGCTCTACATCAATCACTTGATTTAATCTTTGTGGTATATAAGCTTGTTTGAAAACTTCTTCGTTTATTTCTTGGTCGGGACAACTTTCTTGATCTATTCTTTCATGTACTTGGCTTGACATTATATTTAAATACTCATCCATGTTCTTTTCATTCACTGTTGGATCCGTTATGAAGTCAAACAATGCTTTTACAGACATTACGCATACACCATTTTTCTTAAAATACTCTAAAAAATATATAAATGATTACATTAATATTAGAATTAATTATAAAACATTTGATTTAGTATTTATTTCAAAACTAACCACTAATATTTGTACAATCTTTTCGAAGAAAATCGAGAGCCAAAGGATGATCGTGTTCAACCGATTGAGATACATCTATTAGTACAAGAGATCCATCGTGATAGAGCATATTGTATTCACTTAAATCAGCATGAACTAATTTACATTTATGAAACATTTGCCACATCATTTTGATGCATTCTGTATAAAGTTTTCTATACTTTGAAGCATTGATCTCAGCATCTTTCAATTTAGGCGAAGGCCAACCATTGGTACCAATAAATTCCATTAATAATACATGACTACGTAATATAATTGGTTTAGGAGCGTTTATACCTGCTTGGTTTATGCGTGTTAAATTTCTAACTTCTTTTTCAGCCCATGTCCTTACCATTTTGCGAGGATTATGACGGCAATATCCATGCCGAAAACGAAATTCTCCAGTAACATATTTATCGCGATCTTTGAAACGTAAAATAGAAGTTTTGTAAATTTTGATAGCAAATTCATGACCAGTTTTAGATATCGCATGATAAACATTAGCTTCTTTTCCAGTTGAAATACAGCCATTTATTTCACCTATTATTCCTTGATTTAAGAATTTAAACAATATCATTTTAGTACGAGCATCCATAACTTGTTCGACTGTTGCCCGATCATGTTTATCTTTAGTTCGAATGCGATCCTTATCAATACGTTTGTCAGTTTCTTTGAGAAAATTAGCAGCATGTCCTGGCAATGATGGACCTTCATATTTTTCTACATTGATCTTATTAGAATAACGACGAAATAATTTGTCATTTGGTTGATAATTAGATATCTTATTGGAAGCAGATTGTGCATTACTACTTCGTGCATTTACATTTTTGACTACATCTTTCCGATTATTCCCAGCATTATCTATCTCCCAATCATAATTATCATCACTGAAGTAATAGTCTTCATCATCGCTTTGTGTTAACGTTAATTCTGCAATATTTCCAATCAATGTGCATTGAAACAATGGTGCTCCTCTTGATTCAATCGATCTGCTCATAATTAATAAATATTAGGAGTAAATAATTATCAGGAAACTCTAAGTATATAATAATATAAAATCAATATATATATTATATATTGAGATTTTATATATTATATGATTGATGATTATATATATCATAATTTAGAGGTTATATCAAAAGTAAAATAAAATAAAAATTTACGTACGTTATTTCAGTTTCATCAGCATCACTAAATTGTCCTTCATCATGTGTTTCGTTCAACATTATCATGTTTGATAATAACATCAAACGTATTTATTAAGTAATTTGAAATTTAACTTATATATATAATGTTACAATATGCTAATGCCCATATAACTATGAAATAATTTTAAAAAAATTCTAATAACAAACGTTACTTATTTTATGCACATTATATCTAAAAATGAATGTAATTAAGTTTAATATTATATTTTTTTTATTGAATATTGTTAACTATTTTATAATGTTACTGTTATAATAGTACTTAGGCTAGGTATAGTGCCTTAGCCATATATGTAATACTTCTATATGGACAGTTTCTATAAGTGGAAGCTGTTCCGACTAAGAAAGACAGAAGAATAACACTTTCTCTGTCCTCCGAGGTTCCAGCTCGGTT